CCCTTATGTGATTTCAAAAGATCATAACTTGGTCAATTTTTATCTCCTTGAGCCAATTATATTTCCATAATGATCTTAAGGATGTGAACTTTAACCCTTCTTTTATGTGCAAAGCTTGAAAATGAGTTCAAGATGCCCTAAGAACTCAAAATATTATAGGTCACCTCATGAATTTTCACCAATTTTACAAGGCCATAACTTTTTCAATAATTGGTATTTTTGAGTGATTCAAGTTTCACAATGCTCTTTGGGATGTCCACTTCGAGATAGAATCAATTATAAAAGCTCAATTTTGGTAGAAAACCTTGTTTAAACTCAAAACGTTATAGGTCACTTTTGAAGAAAAACTTAGAATTTTTCTAAGTACAAAAAGTCAGCATTTTTTTCTCAACTTTGACTCATCACAACTTTTAGCTCAAACATCCATCTAATCTCATTCTTGGCACATTGCAAATATTGTGCCCTTATCTATCAAATGCTTCAAGAATCATGCCCTAAGACTCCTTGAGTTGTGAACACCATGGATTCAAAGATGGTACCTTGAAACTGAAGTTTTTTCCAAAGTCAGAATTTGAAATTCATAATATGGCTTCTAATCACCAATTTAGCATGCATTTTTTATTTAAACATGTTTAACAAAGTTCCCAAAGTTGAATTAAGGATCAAAACGCAGGAATTGATTGAGTTTAGATGCACATGGGGTCACACTTTTTTCACTTTCGAGCTTGATCCAATTTCCCTCCAAACTTCAAATTTCCTCTTAATTCTTTGCACCATTCGCTTCCCTATAAATAGAAGACCTCATTTCTCTCATTTTCTCAAGCTTGAACAGCCAAAATCACTCCGTCAAACTCCCTCCATAACTCACTTTTCTGAGATTCCGAGTTCCTCTTTTCTCCATTTTTCAATCCAATTTCTTCATTGATCTGTCATCTTTGAACTTCATTGAAGCTAACAGAAAAAGAATCAAACCTTGAGGTTCCCTGAATCGTGCTAACCAATTCCATTTACAAAGCAAGTTCATCTGACTTTGTCCAGGTAGTTTATGGCACCAAATCCCCTAACTCAAATTACTGGAATGGTTTATGATGTTCACTGATGCTTGTTATTAACTCAATTTTTGTGAATCAATGCGTTTGATACTTCTGTTTTCGATTTCAAATTTTTCAAAACATATCTGACTTTTTCCAAATCGAGTAAGCTGTGTTTTATATAAATTTTGTGCGAGGATATGGTTGTGATCGTCTTGAAGAGGTGAATCTGATGATACCACTATGAGCGTATAAATTTACAGATTTAAGAATCATAGTTTCGCCCTAGTTGTAAGGTAGCTGAAGGTTGAAGATGACCTACGTGGCCTCTTCAACCAATGAGAGCAAGACAATTGAAATGTTGTGATTGGTCTGACTTTCATGACTTCAATGTGCGCTTGTTGACTGTGGATCACCATACATCATCACTTTTGAGCCATCAGGTGCACCAGCGTCTTTTAATGAACTGGATCCAACACCTCACATTATTTCTGATTTATTTATTTTTACAAAATTTGTTTTAATTTCAAAAATTCATAACTTTCTTTTTTTTTATCCAAGAATTATGAAAAATATATACAAAAATATTTTGAATTATTTTTGATTTTGTGGATATTTTTTCATATTTTTATTTTAATGTTTGATATATTTCATAATTTTTGTTTTGTTTGCCTTATTTTAATTATTTTAAAAATACTTCTTGGCATTTTTTAAATTCTAAAAAATTTTATCAAGATCATTTTTTCTATTTCTGAATTTTCTAAAAAATTTCTAGAATTTTATTTTGATTCTACTATTTTTTATCTTTTTTCACTTGTTTGAGTGATTTTATTTAGTTTAAAAATATTTTTCTGTTTTAAAAAAATTACCAAAAATTTTATAAAAATATTTGAGATCTTTTCTGAGTTTTTTATGGTCTCTTCTAATTTTTATTTGACACTTTGAATATAGTTTGCTATTTTGCCTTTTATTTCCCTTAAAAAACAATTTAAAGATCATTTTTCTTCTTTTTATTTTATCCATTAAATGCAATTTATTTTTTTAATATATTCTGACTATGTGATTGTTGATCATGAGCTTCATTAACATCATTAGATCTTGGATGTTGAGTTTAACTCCACCAAAATGGATGGATGATTTTAATGATAGTTTGATCAAAATATTTAATTCAAATACATCCCCTCCGTCTCCATCTTATCACTTTCTTACTTGTACTATATGTTGTTAGAGAATGATCTACATATCATTTCTCTAAAAATATGGTACATAGATTGCTATTGATCGGCCTCAAAATAGGTGTGACTTCTATATAAGTCCACTTACGATTGTTTAATATAGCGCTAAATTTTGTCCCGATTCGAGAAATGATCATTCGTGGCTCAAACCTATGTTTGCAAGCCCAATTATGTTTAATTTTAAACCTATGATCCAATAATCTTGAGGTTCATCGTTAGAAGGTTTTGGTCTTATCAATCCTCTAATGAACTTTTATAAAGTTTGGTCTAAGTGAATCATTTAAACATCGTTGATCATTTATTGTTGCCTTGAGAATTTGAAATGAATGATATACTTGACAAAAAGAAAATGAAACTTGTTGTTGAGAGGCTTTAATTTTATCAATATTCTAATAAATTTTCAAATGCAAGTTTCAATATGGTCATTCAACTAACCTCTAATTCCTAACTCATTAACAATTGACTTTTATTTGTATGCTTTTACTTTAAGCACCATTTATTTTAGCATTTTCATTTCATGTTATTTTCCTCTTTGTTCAGTTGAGCATTTATCTTTATGTCATTCTTATTTTGCTCACTTGAGCTTTCATTTTTTTTTTTTGAAGATACTTAATAACCAACTTGAACAATAAAAAAACTTTAATGTTACTTGGACTACTTGGTTACTATCCTTGGAATGATGGAGTTATGGACTTCTTAGACTTAGGATTAGAGACTTTGACCTGCCTTGAGACCTTATGACTTCTATTATAATTTTGTCTGGAGTTCTTGGGGTTTACCGCAAGACCTTGGATTGTTCTTTTTCTTTGTGTGCAGGTTCTTCTGGTTATATACTTTGTGATTGGGAATTCATTTGTATACAGCCGCTACTCTGCCTAATTTTTATGAAGACTTAATGCATTTGAAGTTTGGTTTTCTTAAGAGTTTATTATCTTTGCTTGTTTGGTTTCAATCCAAAGGATAAGAAGTCTACATTGACTTATTGTGTCAAGTGTTGCTTCTTGTTGGTTAGATGGTTCTTTTCCCTAACTTTTATCTTAAGCCTTAGAATAGTCCCTTCATCTCCTCCCATCTTCTTTAATTTCAAAAATCTTCTCCCTCCTTTTTCAAAACTATTCTTGTTTCCTAAACTTGAACAACTTTCATAATAAACTTGGACTTAGGTCCATGTATTTTCAAAATATTTTCTTAATCAAACTTTAACCAATTTAATAATACTTTGACATTTTTGTGAGAAGACTAAAATTTAATCAATCTCATTCAAACCATTTTGCCACTTTGGCTTTTTACTATAAAATTTTCTCAAAATATTAGACTCTTGTCAATCTTTGTAGTGATGCGAGTTACTATACTTCTACGATATATAGTGAAGTGATACATTTTCCACTTGGGTGTTGAACGAGAGTTTGTTGATTTTAAAGTCCAATCCATATCTTCCACTTTGAGATGATGCAAATTCTCCTTTCTCATAGTTTTGGATAGTAAGTATGTTCTTCCACTCGGATAAGACGATAATTTATCGTTTCTTAAAATTAACCAACACACTTGTGTTTTAAAGTTTTTAAAGGGTGAACTACAAGTACCCTGATTCCCTATTGCACGAAAGGTGGTACGTAGGCACTAAAGGTTCACAACCGCGACGGGTGCAAAGATTATAAAAAATACTTCTTTTCTCATCTCCACCATCTATTTTTTATACAACACTTATAGCCAAAATACACAAATTTTCAAAGAGGTTCCTGCGGAGTACCATAGATGTTTAGGATGGTAATACCTTTCATTTGCATAACCAACCCCCAAACTTAGATTTTTCTCCTCCTCTTTTGAGTTATTCGCTCTTTTCTCATTCATTTGTAAAATAAAGTGTGGTTGCGATTTTTATTTGATCTGTGGGAGTCAAGTTAATCCAATAGCTTTATCTCAATATTTTTACCGTTACACATGCATCATCCAAGATGAAAGAATAGAATTGAGGTATATGATTGGCATCATGGCGGTGATGAATCCAAGATGATGTTAAAGTTTCAAAGCTCAACGGGTGGAAGCAAAAGCACTTTTCTTTTCCAGTCCTCTTTCATTGTTTTTCATTTTTTATATTTTCTAAGTGTTTCCATTCTTGTTTTATCTTCAATATTTTTAAAATTAATTTTATCTAAATTTTGTTGATGCAATATTCTTAATTGATTTGTTGGTTCTCATTACCTATTACCCATCTCCAATGAAAAATAGATGTCAAATATACATCTTTTTATATGCATATTCCTTCCTCAAAATTGCATTTTCATATTTCTTAATTTATGAAACTTTTATTTGCAATAGCTGAAAATATGCTTATGAGGTTGTAGTTACTCTAACAAAAGAGTCATAAGATTGAGTTGTTTTATGGCTTGTTCTTTTTTTAAGCACCAAAATATATTGAACAAAAACAATAGTAGAAAGAGGAGGGGAAAAAACTAAAACTCTCTAAAAGAACATAGCGAGAAGAAAAAAATAAAATTTAAAAAAAAAAAAAGATAGAAAACAAATATACAAACGAGATAACTCTCATCAAAGAAAATAGTAAGGTGGGTGGGTGAGGACACCCTCCTTGAAACCTTTGTTATCCTCAGGAGATTTCTTGTTCTTCCTTTTTCTTGGGACTACTAATTGAAATGCTGACTTATATTTTCATCCAAATCATCTCATCTTTCTTAGCCATGTTAGCCCGAGATTCACTCAGAAAATTCATAGCTTGTTAGACCTCTATAGGAACAATCTCTAAAACTTGCATATCATGAATAACAGAGGCACTAAAATTTGACAAGTTAGAGTCTACCACCACAATAGAGCCATCTCCCAAAAGAAGTGAATATACAATTACTTCCTCTTGATGATCCTCTTGGAAGAAAGTGTCAACTGAATCTGAATCTACCTCATAATTCTTGTCAATTTTACCTTGATCAGTGATTTCTATATCAGCTAAACTACACAAACTCTCATTACCTTGGGCACCCAAGTCTCCTTGATGCAATGCTTCAATACTCACAACTTTCCCATCAACAGTGGTTTTCAAACAATCAACAAATCCTAAAAGAGGATTATTATCAACAAATGTTTTAGTAGCATTTACACTTTCAACTAATTCCTTTCTTAAATCCGCCTTCTGAACAGGCACAGGCTTATTCCCCATGCATTTATGCTTCTCATTAGTTACCCTTTTTTCTTTATCCACTTTAACAAGTTTACAAGACGAAAAAAACTATGACCAGTGTTATGACATTGTGAACAGAAAAGTGAAAATTTTTCATATTTAATGTTAACAAGAAAAGCATAATATTCTCTTTCGACCCACAATTTATGTCTGATTTTAGCTGATAAGTCAATATCAACTAAAACTCTTGTAAAATGTCCAAAAGATCTCTCTAGTGGGCACGTACTTGTTGCAGCATCCAAACACATTGGTGTTCCGAGACAACTAGCATTTGCAAAGATAATATTAAGACTCCAATATTCCTGAGGCAACTCAAGAAAACGAACCCATCAATGAATTGTTGTCTGATTGTGGTTATTAGGATTAAAGTCGGGAATTCACACAAATAGTTTGAGAAAATCGGAATTTAAACTCCAAGAAAGCACCACACGAACACGTTGAACATCCTTAACAGATGAGAAAACAAAATCATAGAAACCTTTTCCTAAAGAAACAATTTCCCATTTACTTAAAGCTTCCAAAGAGTGTTTAGTTTATCACACAAGTCTTGAAGTTTTAGGGGAAGATCTCCCTTAGACAAAATCAACCTTCTATGAAGATATTTTTGCATGATTCAAGATTAACCTTGTACTCTTCTTCGAGAATTTTAATAGCTATGTGATCTCCTTTCAAACTAGATCTCAAAATTGACAATGAGAGATAATAACACATGTCTTACTCAACACTTGAACAAAAGATTTTGCGCTCGTACCCTTCTCTTTGAAAACCACAACTTCACCCATAACATTTGAAGATATATCCAATGCAGACCCAGGATTTCCAACCGAATTTACAATATTTACAAATGCTGACTTTTCAACAATATGTACTACTAACATTTGTTAAATTGAAATTTCTATGCAACGGCATACACAAAGGCGCAATGAAAATCAAAAGTTTCTTTGCCATGGAAACACTTCTTTTAATTAGTTACTCATTTCCATTTTTTGTTGCATACACCAAATTTCTAAATTACCGAGATTCAGTTGAATAACAATGCTAAAACAATACAATGTAATTTTTATAAAGGTTCTAATTGAATGTATCTCTACGAGAGTTCTCATTGAATGTTTTCTTATTACGAAAATTAGGTGATTTGAACTTAAACTTCTATAGTCACAAGTAGTTTGAACTTTGAAGAAAGGTAAACAGTGTTTAAAATAAAACCATTACCCATTCAATCCTGTGAAAGTTGTTTCTATAAACTATCGTGAAGAGTTTATTGCAATAAACAAAATCAACATACAGAGAAACCTGCAATTATCAATAACTTATCAAATATGTCACAAGTTATTCATATATTAATTTAAGAGATTCCTGCAATTACAGAATCTGCAGAGTACAGAGAAACCTGATCCATTTTTTGAGTCAACAAATAGCCAAATCAAAATAATGTTCCATAGAATTATTTTTGTTATACATGATATAAGCTAAATCCTATGCAATTCAAATAATTAACAATATACCAATTGACACCAAGTGAACTAAATTTGTAGAACTAGTCACAGAAAGCATTTGAGTTCACTCTTTCATTATAAACAGAAAAATTATAATGTCACAAGCAAGAGATGAAAAAAATCATTCAACAACAACCCTTTCAAAATCTAAGGAATGTAATCGTTTTCTATCATCGGTCGTGTTCGAGTCCCAATTGCTAATGGTGCTTTGGTTCCTCCAACTGATGTCATCTGCAAAGTCTCGTTGCTATCAGCTCTCCATTCCATTTCCTGTATCTTCATCCCATTTTTCATCTTTATCAATCTAACGACCAATAAACTCAATAGTATCAACAATACGCATCCACCAACCAACGACCCGACAATTATCCACACCTTAAACATTTTCTTCCCACGACCGTTATCAATAGTAGCAGCAACAGCAGGCGCCGGGGTCGGTGCGTTAGACTCAACAACAATCGAGAAATGCCCTTGTTGCATCGTTGAACAGATGTTATCAGATGGTAGAATATCGAATTGCACCGAACCGTGTAAATCAAAATACACACATTTAGGAAACAAACCATATGGTGCTGATTTCACATCATGGAACTTAATCAAAATCGGTTTATCAGAAGCTCTTATATCCAATTCAGGCAACTTATCAGCATTCAAATCAACACCACTATAGGATAACAAACCTAAAACAGGAGCTAGATACGTGTAACCGGGCAAAGGGTAAAATTTCTCAGACCAGTTTCCTAAGTTATGATAAACCAAAACAAGCCTCTCTACATAAGGCTGCTCAACAACCCCTGGTGGGATCTGAAACTCTTTGTAGGCTTCAACACCTCTTGCTCTTAAACTACCACTTCTAAGCCTCAATGCTGAAACATTAACCCCTATTAGGTTATAAGGCAATTGAGCATCATAAGGTACACCTGTTTTCGGGTTGGAAAACGCCTTAAAGGCGTAGTCTTGAAGAACGGAATCGAGTGTTCTTGATGGAATATCATCGTTAAATGGAATCAGAGCAAATGAAAATGACAGTGAAAGAAACAATGGCAATGCCAAAGAAACAATTGCAGGGAAAATTCTTGCAACCCTCATCAAGATAAGTTTTTCAAGTCAAAATTGAAAGAAAAAAAAAACGAATAAAACCCAATGAGAATCTAACACAGAGACGCAATTAGAGAGGGTGAAATGCATCAGTGAGTGAAAAAGAGAGAAACTTTATAGCTTACACGGCTCAAAACGGCCATGAATGTTCAACATTGTGTTGTTGTAGCTCTGCAGATGAAACAATGTTAGAACAAATTTTAACAGAAACTCGCTTCAAGAGAGATAAAAATCAGATCTTTGAAGAGACTAGTAGCTTTGGTGAAATGGGTTTGTGAGAAAATCTTGAGATTTTAACAAAGAACTAGTTTGGTGATTGAGATTCAAGGAAGAAGATTGGTTTTTCTCTCTGAATTTGGTTTAAAGAGAAATAATGGAAAGAGAAATTAGCAAATTGGGAAGAAAAGAAGTAGAGAATGGGGAGAGGATGTAGGGAGCGGCATTGCGATAAGAGATTGGGAGTGGAAGACACACTGTGGTATTAGTGCATGAACACACTTTTTTGCAGTATTTAATTTGTGTTCAACAAAACCCTTAATTTTATATAAAAACTATTTCCTTATTTTAGAATTTATTTGGCTTTTTTTATAGAAGGAAAGGAAAAAAAGTATTTATAATATTTACATTCAACGTTTTTGACTGGTATGGTAATTGAGTGAAAAACCATTATTTCAATTTGTTTAATTTAAAACCAAATTTTGGGGTTGTTTTACTATCTTCTTTTTAAAATTAGGTAAGAGGTTACAGGTATTAATGTGAATTAATTTTACAGTTACTATATCTAATGAGAATTTACTACTTTGTCATGGTAATAATAAATCTCTTTTAATTTTGAATCGTTCAATTTCAATCTAAATTTTGTTGTACCTTCTCAATAATTGAGCAGTCAAAATATATATCAGATGCGGAACTAGACTCATTTTTGACTCCATTGGGATTTGGGATCCAAACTAAGGTGAGTGAAAAAAATCGTAAACATGAGTCAAATCAAAGAGTACAAAACAAAGTACGATTACATTAATTAATATAGGTTGAATAAGTCAGTAATTGGAAATGTGATTTAATGGTACGCGGATTCTAGTGAATGCCAACCAACTATTTGCTCCATGTAGGGTTAGCCTAAATAGGGAAAATTTTGCAGGTTACATGATAAGATTCTTAATCATGAAAATGTGTTAAATAAACATCACTGTTTTGTTGCCAATAGCAATACATGTCCAATTATCAACCTTCTCAATAGTTACAACCATTGGGCAAATCACAAATGCAAACATGCTTAGGAAAAAGTAGGTGCAAAATGCCATTCCCTAAGTAGGTGTAAAATGGGAAGCTGCTATATCTACAAAGGAACACCAACCGTAAATCATACTACAAAGAAGTTATTAATTAATAATGCACACTCAAGATCACAAAAACAGTATAAATTCAATAAACAAATATTGGTACTCTATCACTGTCACTAATGTGTACTATCTTTTTAACAAACACTAAATGCACTCGAAGAGATGTCTACAGTTTGCTCACTTAGCATCCACAATGATGCACACACGAAATAACCAAGTGAACTTGAGAAATAACAGTACTTTGATATACATAAACTATTTATTTTGGCTTGTGGCAAATATACAGAAAATAGCTGATTTGGGTTATATATGCTGGTATTATAATAAAAAGAAAAATTAAAAAACACTAATAAAGTTACACAATATAAGGTACAAAATTACATCAAGCTAATGTCACCCGAGATATATAAAACGAGCAACATATAAATGACAAATCATGAAGGCATCAAAAACGCTACATCATTGTGAAAGAAGAATTTCTTGTCATTTTATATCCTTTCAAGCTATAGAAGAGATGTTTGTCACTTCAGAACTCGTTGAATCCTTTACGTTCTTTCCTGATACGGGACATGAAATGCTTCTTGTTAATTCTGAACCCATGCCAAGTTTGGCTTCTGAAGGCAATGATAGGGATGTTGCAGATGGAGTAATAGAATCAAGGGACTTAATAGGCACTTGGGGTAGGTTAAGAGGATTAACTTCAGAGACTTCCTCATTGCTCTCGTCTAAGTAGACAACATCCTGCATTGTAAGCTGATGATATTCAACAACCTCCCTCAGAAAGCGATTCTCACGGGCATAAACTGAGTTCTCATGGGCCAAGCGAGCTTTCTCAGCTAGAAGAGTTTCAAGTTGAAGTCGTACCTGTAAGGGAAATTATATCATTAAAATACAGAATATTATGGTGAAATGAGCATAGTCGGAGAACATTTTTCACAAGCATGCAATGTGGTTAAAACCTAAATAACCAAATCAACTGACTCAAGTGATTATGAACCAGAGCTGGGAAAAACTCAAATTCAATCATTCTAAATTTGGGTACATACGGCCCTTCTATATTCTTTGAGAGTCTTCGAAGGGGAAATAGGGAGAGTGGTAAAAGTGTTTTCTTTAATAAAAATTAGGGTTGAGAAAAAAGAAAGTACAAACAAGGGAAGGATTAACATAGGAAGGCAATCCAAATACATCAAGTCTTTTGGATACTTACACCATAATAATTGAGTTTACCTTATGTAATTATCTAGAAAGCATGCTAATGGGATTTTAGTTTAAGGGGTCATCTGAGAGAACTTATTTGGGCTTATTTTAAGACAAACTTGTTTAAAATGTTTTAAAGGACATAAAAATAGCTTATGATCTAATTTTCTTAGGCTCGGCAGAATAGTTTATAGAAATATCTTATACAGAACTTATACATATGCAAAACTTAAAGAATATGTGTAAAAATATATCAAACTTTAGGGATCATGGCATACCATGTTCCCCTTGGCTCCACTTTTTCATAGTAACTTTTTGCTTTTATACAAAATAAGTACTCCAGAATTCATGTCTAGAAATAGTTTTAGCAACTCATGTTTAACATCAGTTCTCTTGGACTTCACATTATGTATTGGAAACCCGAAATTCACTGTATTTAATTCATTCATGAAGAAAGAAAACCTTAGAAAGGGAAATAATCCCAGTCTACCCCAAAGACAAGCTCCTCGGAGAAAAAGAAAACTCCCTATGCCTACCATAATCTATGTAGCACCAACACCTTTGTAAAAAGGCGTGTCCGTGTCGATGCCGGGCACCTATTCCAACACTTGTTATTACATTTAATAAATTCATTGTTTCAAATAATTATCGGTCCACCGTGTCGATGTTGGGATATCCGTGCTTCATAGACCATAGGTCCATAATAGTTCGCTCGATAATCTTGCATCACCATTACAATTCACACACAATTCACACAGCTCATCATTTATACTACTAAGGCATAACAAACTCGCCAACTAAGGAGCCTACCCCACTCTTTATATACCATATATCATTACCGGTTAACACACACTTTACTACATTTTCTCTGGGTTGCTCACTTGGGTCTCTATACTACCCACCCCTTTAAATACAGCCTTGTCTTCGAGGCTAAAATTTGTATCCACCACCAAAACTTGCCTCTATCGAATACAAAATTGAGCAACCCGTGCAATTTAGATTCAGTCTCCAATCTCCAGCTGGCTTCATTAACAAAAACTGCCATAGGAAAGTTGAATTCTTTCAAGTCTTTTTGCCATATCAATAAAGATGAATGCCAAGACACCATTCATGTAAAAAAAAAAGTTCAAATTTTCCATTACTCCCATACCCCCATTTCATTGAATTCCACAAAACAAGATTCTATGCTTTTGCACCAATTTGAATACAATTCCCGAGCGTCCAAGAAACATGCCCATATTTCATATCCATCTCAAACAACATAGTTGCCCAAAAGGCATCCCCGCTAATACAAGATCTCACAACATACACGTGCAACTCTTACCCATTTCGCAAAATTGGTTGTGTAGAGACAAAAAAATTAAGACACAAACACCAGAACCAATAGATTTACTTCATGCAAAACAGAATGTTGTATGTGTTCAAGAGAAGAACTCTTGGCAACAGTGGGTCCTAAATATATCTCTTCAAATTCACCAATCCTCAACTTTTAGATTTTTAAATTTCCTTCACAAATATAGGATGACAAATATTCCACAGCTGCATTTGGTCTGTGCAGCAAGCCAAGAGACCCGCTTAATAAATATGACTCAGAAAAATATAAATTTTTTAACATTGCCTTCCTAATATAGTCAATTCAAGCTTCAAGTATGCTAGAATAGCAATAACAGATTGTTTAACCAAATCCTTCTGATTTTGATCGTTCTGTTTTCAGGGCATAAAAACAGGAGCAGTGCCCCCAATATCCTATCATCTTGTATTTTCTTATTTCATTTGAGCCTGTCCACTTGAGATGGGTTCATTAAGGCCAAAAAAGGAGATTGAAAATATTTTAAGAGAGAAGCTGCAAGTGATCTTTCAATTGCTCGGGCTGGATCTTGGCCCATTATATCTAGAACTAAGACTGATCGGCAGAGTTTCCCTTTTAATTTTCCTTTATTCATCATTTTATCAACTATTGGCCCATTGATTCAAAAACATAACTCTTTTGCATAATACCCATTTTCTTTGTTCAATGTGTGAAATTCTGTGAATTCTGTGTACCTAAATCAGACTACACTGGCCTCTATTTATAATAGCATACAGAATAAATACCAAGTGAAATTGATATTAATTGCTAACTCTAATCCTAATACTAAATATTAGGATTTGATTCTAACACCCCCTTCAAGCTAAAGCTTACTAAGTTTTAGCTTGTTGCAAAAGAAAAGTGTACTCCAAAAACAAAGATGGAAAGGCAACTCGGAGATGCGGGTGAAGTCAGAAAGATTTTCTATAAAGATAGTCTAGCCAAATAAATGGAATGATCATCAGCCTGAGAGAAATTTAGTGGCAAGATATCAAACAAAGCAAGGCATGCCCTTCTCAGAAGTGCATTTGTAAGCTTCAAGCAATAGTATCAGAACTTCAATAAACTTTCACAAATTGCATCCAAACGAAACTATAACGATATTGGGCCATATGATTCACTTGAAACAACCAACTTAAGTGTGGAACGAGTCAAAAGTTTTTTGAAACCGATGTCGGTGACTCAACCTTGGCAATTGTCGGGCGACGGGACTACCAAAAGTAAAACAAGTTTAGTAGGACATGTAATTGTCATCTATGATTGGTTCGAGCAACTCCAACTTGACTTTGGTAAGGCAAAGGGATTACTAAAGACTAATGACTTGCCGGTGACTCAACCTTGACAATGGTAGTGACAGGACTACCAAAAGTAAAACAAATTAAGTGGGACATGTCATCTATGACGGGTGCCAACAACTCAACTTTGACTTTGGTGAGGCGAAGGGACTACCAAAGACTAATGACTTGCCGCGCCGGTGCCGATGACTCAACCTTGACAATGGCCGGGCAATGGGACTACAGAAAGTAAAATAACTTATATACGACATGGCATGTATGACTGGTGCCAATGACTCAACCTCGACTTTGGTGACATGAAGGAACTATCGAAGACTAATGATTGTGTTTACACCAACGACTAGAGAGTCTACTATTAGAGATCAAATTGATATAAGTTATTGCTATCATGATTTGTTCTAGATTTAGGATTGAGTCTGTATCTCTATAAATAGGGATTTGTATTGACTATTTTGCAACAAGTTAATAGCTATTATCAATAATAATATTTCTCTCTCATCTTTTACACATAATCATAAATTCAGCATGTATCTAGAGCTTGATTGGGCTTGACACTAATCTGCTGTGTAGTTTCCAAAAGTTTGGGAATATAACAATATATTTTTCTTGTCTGCGAGATTTGAAATCTGCCACTGCTGCTGTCGCAATACCATCTACAGCAGCGTTTATCTCTCAAAACTCGTCATCAAACACTGCTTCATGACTGCTTCTTCTCCGCCATGTGGGTGCCATGTGGGTGCCATGTGAGTCTCACTAGACCGCCGTCTCCACCGGGCATGGAGATGCGTCCAGTCGACCCTCTGGTCTCTATCTTGCCCGATCAAACCAGGTTCTTCCTTCTCTCTCCTTGAATCCATCTCCATGGAAACATTGTAGCTGCTGCATATATTCAGTGATCCCATAACAAAACAACTGGCAAAGACCCATTGGTTGACAAAGATAGATTGCAGTCCAGCAGCATTAGAATTAGAAACTCAGCCAGCAAGAGGCTTAAATTTTGATGACCCTATGGACTCTTCTAAAAATTATGTTTCCAATCTAAAATCATTTTCCAGCAAACCACTATTAGTTTGGGCCTGGCCGATTAGGTTTAGAGTGACACTCCACTTGTAAATTGCTCAATTGGACCCTTGATATCCCTTTCTCATCAAAGTCAAATCTACAGTTGAATCAAGTGCTAGAGCCACTGAAATATCCATTTTGATTTCACTAACAAATACAAATACCATTTTTCCATTTTTCTTGTTTTCAAAACTTTGTACAGAGAGCGGTTTACTACAGTTGTTTTCACTGTTTTCTATACAAAACTTTGAAAACCATAATTGTCAATCCTGGATACAAAGCAGTTGCATGTAGCAGGGCGGCCGCAACTCGATATATTTAGGAATTATTATAAAATTAAAATTATTAAAAAATGAAATAAATTATTCAAAATTCATGAAGTATTCATAAGTAGTAGTAAAAGCCACAAGTCTTCAGCAAAACATACTTGTAAATACAAAACTCAAAGAAGGGCAAAAGAGTAGAAAATGAAAAAGATTATAAGAAAAAAAAAACAGAAACAGAAACAGAAAAGAGAAGACATAAAACAAAACTTAAAGAGGGAAGAGTCAACAGTGAGAAATAGAAGCTAATTATCAACAAAATGAAAAAGACAAAAACAGAGGAAGGAAGAATAGAAGCAGAGAAGTAAAGAAAGAGACAAAAACAGTAAGAATCGAAATAAAGAGAAGATAAGAGAGAACATGACCTGCAAGCAAAGAGAGGAATGAGTCGTGCAGTCGCAGAGAAAGAAAGAATGGTGGGTCACGGATATACAGAGAAGAGAAGAATGAGTCGTAGTATCCTACGCAGTTGCATGGTTGAAGAAGAAAGGATTTAGAGTTTTTGGGTCGAAATTCCCAAATCAACCCTGCAAAGGGTCTAAACTTGAGGGTACGGTAATCTTTTGGCCAACCATAGCTGTAGCGGCCGCACCACTCCAACCATGGAACACGGCGCTTTTTTGTACCACTATCCCAGCCACTATCACCACTACGCTCATATGAGACACACCGACACGTGTGAGGGCAGAAGACAACCGCGTTAGCGGCTGTAGCTGTTAGCTCAATAATCTTGCATCACTATCATAATTTTCACACACTTCCTCACTATTTATATTATTAAAGCATAAATAACCTGCCAACTAAGCAGCCTACCCCACTCTTTATCAATCATAAACCTTACCACCCTTTTAGTACATTATATCCCCAGGCCCTTACTCGTACTCGGGTCTCTAACACTATGCGATTCATGTAATTGTAGTCATGGGTTGTGTTTGCAAAGGTAGGAGTTGTCCATAGGGAGGTATGAAGTATGTAAAATGAACAATAGATGACACGATAACCTTTAAATATCTATCTCACTGAAAGACAAGGGTCATAATGAAACTAAAAGAAGGAAGTCAGCAAACAAAAAAGATGCATACCAAATCATCATCATCTTGGGTATCTCCCCTTTCGCGATTTATACGGAGGATTTTATTTTCTTCCTCTAGTTGAGCACATCGATCCTTTGCAAATGCCAGATCAGCTTTGACAGTCTTCAACTCCCGAAGAAGCAGTTTTGCTTTGGCAGCCATTGCCATTGCAACCTGCACAAAAAACCAGATAGTAAATAATGCTTCAAAGACATTCATATCTTCGGATAAATAAACAAACCTACTCATAATAAACAAACCTACTCAAAATAAACATTTTCTTTGGGAAGGATATATAAAATCAAGAATATTAATGACAATCCTTTACCTTAAAAAAACATTAAAAGGAAAAGAAAACGAATTAACATAATTATCTGTTATTGGAAGAATCAAAAACATAGTATATAAGAGCAGTAAAGGCCAGAGAAAGAATGAGTTGAGACAGAGCTGAAAACTAACACCAAAATATTACTATAGCATTACTCTTGCTTCAGACTTCGTGTCCATAAAATGGACCTAGGAAAATCACGACCCTGAGTAAGCTTTAGCCCCCAAGTATATTTACAGATGATAATAGGTTCACATCTTAATTTTATGACAGACAAAATTAGTGATTAGAAGGTGAAAGATGGCTGGATTTAATAGATATATTCAATGGAACCAGAAGACAGAAACATCATTTAGCAATGTGATATAACCTATGTCAAACTAGCTTATATTTTGGTTTAGATGAAGGAAAAAATTAGCTTTTAGCATCAGAACATTAAAGTAGTAAATAATTGTACTGGACAACTATAAAGCACTGCTGCCTATCTTTGTCATATTGTTGGGCATGGCCACTCAAACAACACTCCAACATTAATAGCAATTTTAGGAATTAAAAGGATGAAAATTTAATAACGGTGTAACTAACAATAATTTAAACATGTAGCAAAAATGTCTATATTTCCATATTGATTTGCATGCACAAACACGCAGTCTAAATATTTTGAGGTACTTGTGCTTTTTACTCTGAGGAGTAAATGTAATAGTCACTGTATCGTGTCAATTTGTATCTTGTACTATCCATGTGTATGTTTCATAGCATAGATGAATCATTCCTATATTAGTCTTCAATAGACAAACGCTCAAATTTTTCTATAACTTTAATGCTATCGCAATTCTCGGGTTGGCTGAATCTGATAGCACAAGATATTTAAAACACAACCAACACAAAAATGCAGTATATTTTAGCAAAAACACATGAAAATGTGTGACGAAGATAAAATTTTAAAAACAAACATAAACCAAGAATGTTTAACATTTGTTGCTACAGTACTTAACCCCATGTGTACTATTACCACATAAAAAAGTGATACACAGTTGCCACCTTACGTCGCGAGATGCCTTCAGCTGAAGTTCTTGGTCTGCTTGCTTTGGCGACTTCTGGGTCCGCATCTGGGGTTCTTGCAACGTACTAGAATGGTTTGTTTCCTGATTTTGTACTAAAATGTTTACAGGCTTTTTCCTGATATGTTTACGTGTTTCCTGAATGATATCTGAAGTCCGATTCTCTACAATTGTAAAACCTTCCTGCGGGCACAAATTGCAAGGGCATAATAAGATCACAAAGCATACCCTTATGGAAGAGGGAGAGGAGAATATGTAGTTACACTTGAAATTCAAAATAGGATAAACAACCTACTATAATACACTCCCATAATCCCATTCCTGTCAATTACATAAGCCTAGGTCCAAAAGGCAAATGCATAAGTAAAATACCAAAGTAGAAATAAGATAAACATCCCATCCGACCACAACTATAGAGAATGGAAATTTAGATCTAAACATTAGCAAAAATAAATTATACCAAAGCTCACCTCGAAAGATTTACCAATGGTGCCACCGATATGAGTAAGTGAGGATGTGATTGCACCTAATCCCTTAATAATTGTTGGACTGTCCCTTTTGAGATTTCCCTCCTCTAAGTGATTCAAATTTTGGCCCTGCACAGAGAATGACACTAGCATACAATTTTACAGTTCAAAAATAATGAATAAGCAGTTAAATACTAGTCAGATGAAAGAGTCGGAAAATTAAGTGTGTGAAAAATAGAAATCAGAATTTTCTGAATGTGCTCGAGTGAGTAAAGCACTCAGCAACCATGATATTTATACACACTATATAATTAATTACATACTATGTTTACAAGGAGAAATAAATAATAGTCCAACACCCTAAATGCATGAATCTAAATATACATGAACCTAAGACTTAAATGCTCATTTTAGTGAAAAACATACAATGTATTTTTTTCTATTTCCAACACTCCCCCTCAAGCTGGTGAATAAGTATTCTCCATTCCCAACTTGGATACAATTCGTTCAAAATTTGAGCTACTCACTCCTTCAGTGAGAATATCCACAAATTGCCCTTATGAGGACACATACGGGATGCAAATCAACCCACTATCAAGCTTCTCCTTAATGAAGTGTCTATCAACCTCAATATGCTTAGTTTGATCATATTGAACTGGATTATGTGCTATACTGATAGCTGACTTATTATCACAGTAGAGCTTTATGGATCCTTCCCATTTGATTTTCAAATCTTCTAAAATAATTCTGAACCAAAGTAATTCACAAAAATGCCTTGTGTCATAGCTCGAAATTCAGCTTCAGCACTAGAACGGGCTACTACATTTTGCTTCTTACTCCTCCAAATCACAAGATTTCCTCCAAGAAATGTGCAGTACCCTGTAGTGGATCTTCTATCAACAATTGAACCTGCATAATCTGCATCAGTGTATGCCTCAAGGGTTGTATTTCCATTTCTTTTGAACAAAATTCCTCTTTCTGGAGTTCCCTTGAGATACAGCAGGATTCTATGAACTGCTTGTAAATGGTTTTGTTTAGGACAATGCATGAACTGACTAACCATACTTACAGCATATGCAATATCGGATCTAGTGTGAGACAAGTAAATTAATCTCCCAACTAGACGCTGATACATTTCTTTATCTACTGCAACATCTTCTTCTATATTACCCAATTTAAGATTTGGATCCATAGGAACACTCGCAGGTTTACACGTTGTTTTTCCTGTATCTTTGAGTAAATTTGTAATATATTTTTGTTGAGATATAAAAATGCCTTTTCGGGAATGTGCCACCTCGATTCCCAAGAAGTACTTCAGCTTTCTAAGAGTTTTTATTTCAAACTCCTTAGCCAAACAATGACTCAAGATTTGTTGCTCCTTCCTATCATCTTCTGTCATTATAATGTCATCCACATATACTAACAGAATTGTTACTCCCCCTTGTGACGAGTGTTTGATGAACAAGGTGTGATCCCCATGACTTTGCTTGTACCCCAAAGATGTCATAACCTTAGTGAATCTTCCAAACCATGCTTTAGGTGATTGTTTTAGTATATATAACGCTTTTTTCAACCTGCAAACTTTATTGTCAGGCACATTTTTTTCATACCCCGGTAGTACCTACATATAAATCTCCTCTTCAAGTTCCCCATGTAAGAAGGCATTCTTCACATCAAATTGTTGTAAATCTCAACCACAATTGGCAGCATGTGACACAATTACTCTCACTGTATTCATCTTCGCAACCGGAGCAAATGTCTCTGAATAGTCAATTCCATAGGTTTGTGTAAACCCTTTGACAACCAACCTGACTTTATATCTTTCGATTGATCCATCGGCCTTATATTTTACTGTGTACACCCATTTGCATCCAACTTCCCTCTTTCCTTCTGGTAAAGTCACTAACTCTCAAGTTCCATTCTTCTTCAATGCCTCCATCTCAATATTCATGGCTTGCTTCCATTTTTCATCAGACAATGCCTCAAACATTAGTAGGTATGAAAGTAGTGTTTAGGTTTGTAAGGAAGACTCTATGGATAGGTGAGAATTTTTGAAAAGAAAGATAGTTTGAAAGAGGGTATAAAGACTGTTTGGTGCATTTTCTGGTACCTTTTCTAATAGTTATTGGAAGGTCTAGTTCATCATCTGTTGTTTGGGTCATCATTTTATCTTGTAACTCAGAAGAATTAATTACCTCATTTAAAGGAGTCGAATCAGACTCTTGAACTTGTGTCGATTCAGGAATGGCCTTTGACTTTCTCTTGTAAACCAGATTCTTTCCATATCTTACATCCACTTCAGGTCCAAGTTCAACTACTGGTGTATTTGAATGATTTGACTCAACTCTTAGTTTGTCAGCCTCAGATGGCTCTGCTACAAGTGTGTTTGACTCAGGACCAGAAAGATTGGGTCTATTTTACTCAAAACTAGAAGAATTAGGTGGATTTGACTCAAGACCAGATAGATTGAGTGTATTTGAGTCGTGATCATAATTACCAGATGTATTTGACTTAATACTAGACAGATTGAGTGTATTTGACTCAAGACCAGAAAGATCGAGACTTTCAAGCTTATCTTCTTTAAAATTCTCCCCCTAAAGATAAGGTTGAGTGAAGTACGGTTCCTCCTCATGAAAGGTAACATCCCGCGACACAAAAAACTTTTTAGATGGAGGATGAAAACACTTATATCCCTTTTGAGTAGAGGAATACCCGACAAAAACACATCTTAGGGCTCTAGGATCGAGTTTTTTTGTCTTGACTATGCACATGGACAAATGAGACACACCTGAAGACTCTAGGTTTAAAATTACTACTTACTAACAAATTTGGATAGAAGGAAGAAAGAACATCCATAGGACTCTTGAACCCTAATACTCTAGAGGGTAATCGATTAATAAGATATGTGCTAGTGAGAACAGTCTCCCCCCATAAATATTTTGGAACATTTTGGTGAAACAACAGTGCTCGGGTTTGGTCTAATACTTTCTGCGATTCCATTTTGTTATGGTGTATTAACACAAGAAGACTCATGGACAATTCCCTCTTTTTGAGGGAAAGTAAGAACATGATTGAAGTACTCTTTTTCATTATCAAACATAAGCCTTTTGATGTTTACTCCAAATTGATTTTTAATCATGTAGAAAAACTTTGGGAAAACAGTATCGACATCAGACTTGTTTTGGAGTAAAAACACCCAAGTAACCCGGGTACAATCGTCTATAAAAATAACAAACCACCTAGCACCTGTTACATTTGGATTGGTAGAGGGACCCCAAACATCTGAATGAATAAGATAGAAGGGGGAAAGACTTCTTTTGTTGTTTAATGAAAAAGATAAACGCTTATGTTTAGCGAACTCGCACACATCACAATGAAGACTTTCAATATCTACCTTATTGAATAAAGATGGAAACAAAACTTTAATGACTCTAAAAGAAGGATGACCTAACCGGCAATGAATAAAGATGGAAACAAAACTTTAATGACTCCAAAAGAAGGATGACCTAACCGACAATGAAAAAGAAAGATTTTTTCCTTTATAGAGAGTACCGACTCTGACATAAATGAGTGGGGCAGGTGGACTTTTGTACACTGATCTGGTTCTTCAAGATAGTAAAGGCCATTCCTTTCTCTAGCACGTCCAATCTTCTTTCCCGACTCCTTATCCTGAAATATAAAACAATCATTATGAAAAGTCACACTACAGGATAAATCGTTCGTAAGTTTTTGTATGGAGACAAGGTTCATGGATAGCTTTGGAACATGGAGGACCCTTTTTAGGGTTATAGAATGATTTATTTGGATATCTCCAATGTCAGCTACAGTTACAAGAGTACCATCTGCAGTAGAAATTTTTTTATTACTGGGACAAGGGGAATACGTGGAGAATTGTTTCGAAGAGGGTGTCATGTGGTCTGTGGCTCCTGAATGTAATATCCAAAATAAACAAGAAGGTGTTTCTGAGACATGAAATCCAAATGAGTGAAAACTTATCAGAATACGCTACACGGCAATTACCTGATAACTTTTCCATACTATTGGTCATAAAGAAAACAGAAGCAACCACCAAATATTTATGTATGAGATATCAAAGAAAATAAGATTCGATGAAGAAATCAGCCCAGAAAACAAAGGGACAGCGGCTGAAACTGTGCGGACAGCAGCTGAAACTGTGCGGACAGCGGCTGAAACTGTGCAGACAGCGGCTGGAACTGTGTAGACAGCGGCTGAAAAATGTGCAGAGTTGCATCAACGACGGCAAGAAACTGTATGGAACTGTACGGACAGCTGCCGGAGAAGTATAGATAGTGTTTAATTGGAAAAACTTGACAGCAAGTAATGCCCAGTCAAGATTTAAGAGTTCAGACACCGTAAAAATGCCCAGTCAGATTTCTAAATAATGATTAACAGAAGTCGAGTCCCCTAGATTAGGAGCTCTGATGCCATGTGAAAAATAGAAATCAGAATTTTCTAAATGTGCTTGAGCGAGTAAAGCACTCAGCAACCATGATATTTATACACACTATATAATTAATTACATATTATATTTACAAGGAGAAATAAATAATAGTTCAACTCCCTAAATGCATGAATCTAAATATACATGAATCTAAGACTTAAATGCTCATTTTAGTGGAAAATATAAAATGTATTTTTTCTATTTCCAACAAAGTGCATGGTTGTATATGGCCCCCCATTTTGTGTACTTTGCAGTAAAACCTGGATCTACGGGTCAACGAAATCATATCAAACTACTTTCTTTCCCATGGATAACAAACAATTTACAAAGCAGCATCCTAGATGACGACTTGAGAGAGAGATATAAAAACTCACCTTGCTCCTAGATGTTACGCCAGGAAATTGTGACCTTGGTGTCCCAGGTGTTTCAGATTCCCGTGTTAAACCATCATCCTCAATAATTGATTTTGCTTTTCTAGCAAGAACACCCCAAAATCCATTCTTTGACTCATCCAATCTCTTCATAGATGTATATTCATAAGCTCTTGAATCCTATATTTACAAACACTGTGTTGTTTAGCAACACTAGCCTAAATTTTGACAATGAATGATACATTTGGCAGAGACTAAAGAATAAAGATTGAGTAAAGCAGAGAGAAAAGTAAGCATATGTTAGACATGCATTTCCAATCATCACTGTATTCATATGAAATCAGCATTCGCTCAAGGTAACATGTGCATAATAATTGTAACAAATAGAACTTGCAGATATCTCATCTAATTATGTAATACAACAAATTTGGAACTAGAATTGTATTTACATCAACAATTAATGGAAGCAGCTTCCACATCTGGGTTATGAGTAATACCAACCAAAGAATTAATCAAACAAGAAAAATAAATAAATAAATGAAGGAATCCTCAGAAATAGTCACGAAATAGTCACACACACACACTGATCACAAATGCCAGACATTTTTTATTTGAAGGTCTTCTAAGGAATTGAAGGTGATAAAGTTTATGAGTTGGGTTGAATAAACCTTTTGTTAAGAAACGTGGTTGGACCTAACTCAACCTACAAAACCGGCTTGTAGAGTGAGGAGTACCCCCACTTATAAAAACGTGTTTAGGCCATATATTATCCGATGTTGGACAATTACCACACACCCTCACGTCCAGGACTGGACATTTGGAGCGTGGAAATAAATGATGGGTGTCCCGATAGCCGAAACCTGATAGTAGGTGGTCGACCGGATCTTAAACGACGCTCTTGATACCATGTTAAGAAATGTGGTTAGGCCTAACTCGACCCTACAAAACCGACTTGTAGGGTGAGGATTGTCCCCACTTATAAGGACAGACGTGTTCAGGCCATATAATGCCCGATGTGGGACTCTTAACACCTTTCGATATAAGAATTTATAGAGAAAGAGAAAGGTGGTACCTAATATCTCATAAGTTGAAAAGTTCTACCTAGGTTGTTAATCTCGGATAACCGCACATAGCGCCAGACTCCCAAAATGCTATAACGGCTTAAAGGATAGTAGGATGACCGCTATTGTGAGCTTTAAAACCCAAGGTAAATACTTAACATGCATATATAAATACTTAAAATAAGTTCCAACAACATACGTAATGCCTTAAAAACAGAAGTTGCAACAACATATATAAATTCCAACAGCACCGTAATATAAGTTCCCATCAAAATCTAATTATAAATGTACTCAAAATGACTACATCAAATTCAAAACATAAAAAAATGTAAACAAAATGACTAAATCACATCTGCTTCATCTACACTTCTAAGTTCCACCACCTTAATATCATCTTGCTCATCACTTTATTCAATTTAAAACTCTTCTTCTTCCACCTCCAACTCCTCATCTTCATTAGACACTAATGTAGCAAGTCTAGAGTGGTGTCTAGTAACTCTTGTTGGCTCATTAGCCCCAGCGGCATTACCAACAACTTCCTAAGTCAAACCCTCTTCCAAAACCAAATCATCTTCCAATATTCCATTTTCATCTTCATTTTGTTGCAAACATTCATAACATTCATCAACATTGTTAAGGAGAATAGGATTAGTTAAATCTTTGCTATTGAAGCATTCTATAAGAGCTTGGTTGGTTGTACTTCACAAACTTAAAATATTGCTCTCATCTTCACAATAGTGGTTTGTAAACCGTTACAGAACCGCTATTGCGCGCTATTGACAACCTAAAGTTCTACATCTTAATTTTCTACAAAATCTCCCTTTACACCCTATCTACTACAAAAACTCCCTCCCCTAACTTCTTCACTTCAATAACAAATTTCTTGTAAGTTAGTAAAACTTCATTTCAGTTGAGATAGAGAGATACTCCCATAAACTAGAAGCTAATCTAAACTAGCTATAAAGAATAACACCAGGTTTTCACTAATTTCCTTAAATTGATGTAATTTTAAATTGCCCATACACACCATTGCATATACCACACTGAAGTATTTCTATCCATTTCTGTTTTTCCCTTTTTAACTTCAGCTTTTAGAACAATGTTGATCTGAATCTAATTTTCTTCTATCTTTAAAAATAAATAAAAAAGCATTATACCATATATCAATCAACAATAACAATACTTCAAAAATCATCAGCAATACAGTCTAATTTGCACTATTATAGTCAAAACTATTGAACAAAAACAGCAAAAATCAAAGATGCGAGAGATAACCTTGACGGAGGGAGGAACAGTTGGAGTAGGATGAGAACGCGGAGACGAGAGATTGGAGTGACCATAAAGAGACGAGAGCGAAGAATCACGCCGCGCCGAAGAAGCTCTGATAGCTTTAGCAGCAAGCGAAGACGAAGAAGTGTCAACACCTTCATAGTTCGAAGAAGAGTTCGAATTCGAGGAAGAAGGTGTAATAGGATTAGGGTTTCGAATTGGTTCATTTTCGAAAATCGAAGGAGAAGACTTGGAAGTTCCGTATTGTTTTCTTCTATACGCCATCGAAATCGAATAAACCTCTCGATTTTCTGGATCCAATTGAATCTCTGCACGAAATGGTTTGAACTAGAGGGGAAAAAAACGAAACTAGCACAGTGAGGAACTAACTACCGCTTCCAGAATCTTCGTCTGTGGTTGTACTTGGATTCCGATGCGATCATGAACCGCTGGAAATTAATATTCTATGAGGAAGTGGTAGAAGTTTGATGCGGCTGGGTTTATTACATCGAGCTATATTTAAAATTAAATCATTTATTTTCTAACATGATGAGAATATTTTGTTTTTGTGCGTGCCCAATTAAAGAGCTGTGCAATTCCTTTTACAGTAGTGTTTTTTTTTTTTTGTTAATGGTTTTAGAACCAAATTAACTTGCAGTTGATTTTTTTTTTTTTTTGGTTTTTATTTGTGTGTAAATAAGTTCCTTTTTATAATACAAATAAAATGAATAAAATTCTTATTTTATTTTCAAAATGAGTAGGATAACCGTAAAACACACGGATATTAATGTGAAACGTGAAATTTTTATAGTTTGATTTTGAAATTTAAATAAAATAAAATAAATATTTAAATTTAATTATAAAAAATAAAATAAAAAAATAGTCAAAGATAAATATATAAATTAATTAAATTAATTATTGTTAAGGAAAAATATTATACATCTATTTAAAAAACAATTGTGTAAAATAAATAAAAATGAAATGAATTTCTCAAAACGAATTGTTTGTGCATTTACACGATATTGACGTATGACTCTTACATCTGTATGAGTACGGGTGTGATACGCATGATTTTATTTTTAAAATAAAATTAAAATATTAATAAGAAAAACAAAATTATTTTACAAAAATAGATAATTCATTTTAAAAGAAAAACATAATTGTTATATCAAAAATGATTTAATATCAATAATGATGCTTTAGAAATTTTAAGCTCTATTATATTATATTACCATTTGTCATTTAAATTCTTATCTATTTATTAAATTCAACGTATTTTTCTTGTTCACGAAGTGAAGAGTACTCCATTGTATCTGTTTGATTGTTTTTTCTTGATAAACTTGTTCATCACCAGTTGAGAATTTGAAATTGAAAAATACATATACTTGAATCAAAATTGAAAATAATTTTTAAAATATAATATGTAACTAAAAACTACTCATCAAACTTTCTTTTAATCAATTATATTTTAGAAATGAAAGCAACGTGATGCTAACTAAATTTACAAACATAATCTTGTGATATCAAGAGTGAACAAATTTATGCAATAATCACTAGCAATGTTATCACTTACACATCCACATTAGGTAAGTGTGCCATTAATTATTTTCGTTACATGACTTGACATGCAATCTAATGCTAAAAAAATGGTTCTCTCGTTATCAAAGGAAGTTACCAATAGCATATTTGTCGTAACTGATAAAAATAAGTGTCGACACTATTAATTTTTATCTTAAGGATGGAAAATAACAGATAACCTTAATTCGTATCGAGATTCTAAATCCGTAAGTCAGTTGAACGAAAGGAGGGTGTTTAGGCACCCTCCATCTCCATTGTTCTCAAAGGACTCCACTTTTAGGTTTAAGTGTAAGATGAGAATTTGACAGTTAATGTTTCAATATATTTAAGAAAAGAATTTAGTTTTTTAGTTATAAACTCGTCTTGGTTTTAACTGCGTACCTACGTATCTCTTTGTGAATAATCAGAGTCTAATTTCGTAGTTCGTACGTGTTTCGTTAGTTTTTTTATTTATTGTGTTAATGCTTTCGAGTTATCCTTGAATCTTGTCTGAGTTTGAAAATGGTGTAGTCGTAGACGTAGTTCGCAGTTAATTTTGAAAATATATCCACAATCCTTTTCTAAAAATAATATGAAATTTGAATTAAATTAGTAGAAAATACGTTAAATTTGATTGGTTATGTCTTAGAATACATTATGCAATTTGCACAAAAATAAGTTTGAATGATGAAAATATTTGATGCATTAATAGAAAATAGGGTTATTGTTTTGAAAATAATTAATAAATAACTTTATTATCAAAAATATATTAAATATTTTTATAATAATCATATATTTATTTATCAAAAATGATTTTTATGACAAAAATGCAAAAAAAAAGTTTTAATGCAATATGATAAAAAATGATAATAGAAAATTTGATAATTATTAACATATAAATTAAATAAATAAAATAAATAAATAAGTTAATAAATTAAATAAAATATTTTAAATTAATCCAGGGGGTGTATATTTAGTTCAGTAGTAAAAACGTAGGGTGTTGAAAGTAAGGGCCTAAGCCCAATAATATGTTTTAGACCCAATTACGCAGGGGGTACGAATTATGTTAGGACAACAAATCGGGAGGGTGTAAAAAGAAGTGGGCTCGGTGTTGGCTGAAGATTTTGATAATGTTATTAGAAGCCAAATGAATTAAACGTTTTGATCGAAATGAGGTAAAGCGTCATGTTTCGAAGTAGCAGAAGCAATGTTTCGAATAAGTATGTCAATGCTTGGAGCTTCGAGTGGAAATTATGGGAACATATCTAAAGAAGTCTCGAAATAACAACAAGGTTGTGTCTGGGAAGAGCGTTTGAAACAGAGAAGTACCAAAGCATTTGAAATTCAAATGGAAGCGGGACTTTCGAAGTTTGAAAGTTATGTGCTGGAGCATTTGGGGACACGTGGAAAGACGAAAGAAGCATTGTCCTGCATGTTCTAAACGTGGCATAATCCTATAGCAAGACCGTTATGGCCGAATTAGTATAAATAGAAGTCTTAGTATTAGGATTTCGGGTGTCATATCTATTATACAAAATACTCAGTAACATTCAAACTACCACATGGCAAGGGAAACGAATGCAAGAGAAATGTATGTATGATAGCACCATGTATTTCTGATTTAATGAAAACCTTTTACCATTTCCAGTACTTTCCTTTATCCTTTTGTCAAATAACATTTACAAGTTTTCTCATTTACAGTCTTTTCGCTTTGAAATCTCTTCTTCAAAGTTTTACATTTTAATGCTTTCTTCATATTTCAAGCACTTTATATCTCAGAAAACTGTCATATTTTCCATACCTTTACCTTCAAGTCTTATCCTTCGAACGCATATTTTTACTTAAAGTCATTTAAAGATTTCTTGCATTAAACGCTTTCTTCATATTTCAAACCTTTTACGTTCCAGAAATCCTTTATATTAACTGTTTTGTAAGTCGAAACCATTTACTTCACTTTTATGCAATTTTACATGTCTTTACAATTAGCATTTATTCATGTAACTTAGTTTTCACACACACATTTTGATTACATCTTTAGACTTTTAGAGAGAGAAATCGAAATAAGTCAAACACATATACAATATCAACCATGAATATCTGTTCGATCGTGAGAGTAACCTTAATATCCAAGGAGTCCTAGGATCAATCTAGTCGATCCTGTGAGTTACCAGAGGAATTGAATAACAGTCAGAAAGATTATTCGATAGTTTGGAAGACTAGCGGTTGTTTACCAGAAATCACTGGAAACAAATTGGCACACCTGGTGGGACCAATAATTGGATATTAGAAATAAGGATTGTTGAGACATAACCATTACAAAAACGTTGGAACCTAAGAAGTTTGCTGTTTTATGAACCTGAGAAGTGGTAAGATAACCAACAGCAACCAACCTTTATCCAGAAGAAAACGTTTGGACAAAATGTCTAATTCAGACAATCAACAAGGGGACCAAAATGGCCCACATACAACAGGCACTAATGCGTCCACTTCGATCGGAACATCTAATGTAATCCCTTCGAATGCACAGTCTGTTGCATCTTCGACCAGTAACATAGCCACCAATGGAGTAAGTGGCATATCAACTAATAGTTCGATCTTAGGAAATACTGGAACCATTGGCTACCCTGGGGGATTCGTTCCACCATCAGGGACACAATCCCATTTCGCCACTCCATTAACTAGACCACCCGGTTTCGATGGGAATAGAACCAGAAATTCCTCTTATGGAATGCCAACATCTTTTATGGCAGGTTTACACAATTCCACATCGAATTCATCTCCACAACTAGGGTCTGGGTCTGGAGCGAATCAGTTTATGACAAATAACCAAGGATCGGTGGGTTATAGCACAATGCCTATCTTAACCACAGACAACCAGTTGGCTTTTAGGCAATTGATGGATGACAGTAACCATAATATGATAGGGGTGTTAGCACAAACCATGCAGGAGATATTTGCCCCAATAGTGCAAAATGTGACTGTGACAAACAGAGAAAACGCTGACAATATGAGTCGAATAGCAGATTTCTTTGCTCCCCCAGAAAGGCGTAGGCAGAATCAGGCGGGATTTCGAGCAAACATGCCTGTTATAGAACAAATTGCTAACGACCCAATTTATAGACCACCCAGAGAAGAAGTTAACTTAGGGGCCAGGACACCAAGGTTAGAAGCCCCAATAATCCCGGGCCCACAAAGGGAAATTATGGAACCAGGGGCAAGGGTCGAAAGGCTAGAAGCCCCAGAGTTTCGAGAAGAACAACCTAGGGGAGTTGTTTTGGTTGGTCGAAATCAAGATGCCGATGCTGTCGTTCATAGAATTCGAAACGATAACATCTTGGCAGAAAACAACCTAACCACCATGATAGAGAGAGTCATGGCCCAGAATGGCCTTAACACAGGAATGAGAAGGCCAAATTACGCTTCTCCTATATTGGATTGCATAATGCATACTGATTTACCAAGGGGATATAAAGTCCCTAAATTTACAAAGTTCGCTGGGGATACCAATGAGTCAACAGTCGAACACATAGCGAGATATCTAACCGAAGCGGGAGATATAGCCAATAATGAAGATCTCAGGATCAAATACTTCCCAAGTTCCTTGACAAAAAACGCCTTCACATGGTTTACCACTTTGCCTCCTGGGTCCATTGACACTTGGGCTCTCTTAGAGAGATTATTCCATGAACAATTTTACATGGGACAGTCGAAAATAAGTTTGAAGGAAT